CACCCCCGCCGTGCTTCCCGGTCACCGTTGCCCCTCCTATGGGCCCGGGACCAGCTTCCGTGGTGTCCACGGGGAGCTGGGGAGGAGATGGACGAACCTCCGTTCATCGATCCCCTCCCCGTTTTATGGGACCGGGAGAAATGCAGATTGCATCACTTTCGGTCCCTGGGCTGTCAGTGGAAGCCCAGCTATGAGCTATTGAAGTGCGATCTGCACTTCAATAGCTTATTTCCAGTGTAAAGGTGACACTGGAGGTCTTTTGGACCCCCAGCATCACCTTAACGAGTACCTGTCACCACCAACTGCTTTCACATGGGGGGGCTTGTAAGCCCCCCCATGTGATAGCAATCAAAGTAAAGCAAAGTAAAGTGGAAAAAAAACGTTTTTAAAATTAAATAAAATAAATCTAAAAATATATTTTTTTAAATGTTTAAAGTCCCCCGCGAGCGTTGCCATGTAAAACATGCGTTGGGTGTGCCTGCGTATGAAAACGACAAGCGCGCTACACATGTTGGGTGTGAGAGCAATAATTCTAGAGCCAGTATTTTTGGGTATCTCTAAATTTTTCTAGTCATCTGACTATTTATTTTAAGAATATATATCACACACACACGCACACATTATATATAAACTACTCAAAACAATTAAAAGGAACACTTTGAAAACACATCAGGTCTCAATGGGGAAACATATCATGCTGGATATCTACTGTATACTGGACTGGGTAATGTGTTAGGAATGAAAGGAGGCCACATCGTGTGATGCAAAAGAAAAATGATCAACCTACAGAGTGCTGAATTCAAAGACACCCCAAAAATCAAAGTAAACAAATGATGCAGCAGGCTAGTCCATTGTGCTGAACTTTTTATTGCAGCAACTCAAAAAAATGGTACTAGAAATGGTACTAAAAATGGTTTGTATTAGGGCTGCAACAACTAATCGACATAATCGATGATTGAAAAAGTTGTCAACTTCTGGTTAGTTGGCCCTGTACACGGCTCCACACACTTTGCGCGCCTTGCCTTCTCCCCACCTCACGCACGCCGCTGCCAGACCCACCCGCATCCACACGCCGCACCTCCTAAACCCAGCAATAGTATATTATACAGCGCAATACAGCCAGTACAATTTTTCTTATTTACTTACCACCGCTCCAAGCTTGCTCTTGTGATGGACTACAATCTCAATACAAACTAGTAGTCCCATCCGTGGAGCCATTTTCTAAAATGTATTTTATTTTTTATCCGATTAATCGAACTAACTAATCGATTTTGAAAATAATCGTTAGCTGCAGCTCTAGTTTGTATGGCCCACACGTGCTTTTATGGATGCCTTACAACGTCGGGGCATGCTCCTAATGAGACGACGGATGGTGTCCTGGGGTACCTCCTCCCAGATCTGGACCAGGGCATCACTGAGCTCCTAAACAGACTGAGGTGCAACCTGGCGGCGTTGGATGGGCTGAGACATAATGTCCCAGAGGTGTTCTATTGGATTCAGGTCAGGCAAGCGTGGGGGCCATTTAATGGTATCAATTCCTTCATCCTCAGGGAACTGGCTGCATACTTTCGCCACATGAGGCCGGGCATTGTCGTGCACCAGGACCCACTGCACTGACAATGGGCCCAAGGATTTAATTCTGATACCTAATGGCAGTCAGGGTGCCATTGTCTAGCCTGTAGAGGTCTGTGCGTCCCTCCATGGATATGCCTCCCTAGACCATCACTAACCCACCACCAAACCAGTCATGCTGAACGATGTCACAGGCAGCATAACGTTCTCCACGGCTTTTCCAGACCCTTTCACGTCTGTCACATGTGCTCGGGGTGTACCTGCTCTCATCTGTAAAAAGCACAGGGCACCAGTGGCGAACCTGCCAATTCTATTGTTCAATGGCAAATGCCACCGAGCACAGGGCCCACTAGAGGACATCAGGCCCTCAGGCCACCCTCATGAAGCCGGTTTCTGAATGTTTGGTCAGCGACATTCACACCAGTGGCCTGCTGGAGGTCATTTTGTAGGGCTCTGGCAGTGCTCATCCTGTTCCTCCTTGCACAAAGGAGCAGATACCAGTCCTGCTGATGGGTGAGGAACTGTCCATGGCCCTGTCCAGCTCTCCTAAAGTAACTGCCTGTGTCCTGGAATCTCCTCCATGCTCTTGAGACTGTGCTGGGAGACACAGCAAACCTTCTGGCTATGGCACGTATTGATGTGCCATCCTGGAGGAGTTGGCATGCCTGTGCAACCTCTATAGGGTCTAGGTATTGCCTCATGTTACCAGTAGTGACACTGACTCTAGCCAAATGCAAAACGAGTGAAAAACAGTCAGAAAAGATGAGTAAGGAAAAAATGTCAGTGGCCTCCACCTGTAAAACCATTCCTGTTTTGGAGGTTGCCTCATTGTTGCCCATCTAGTGCACCTGTTGTTAATTTCATTAACACAGAAGCAGCTGAAACGGATTACAACCCCCTCTGCTACTTAACTGACCTGATCAATATCCCAGGAGTTTCATTGACTTCATGCTATACTCTGATTAAAAAGTGTTCCTTTCATTTTTCTGAGATATATATATTTATTGTTTTTATTATACATACAGGGGTGTGGAAATTTTGGAAAAAACTATTTGTCCAAGGACTAAATTCCCAGCCATCCGCTCGGTTTCGTGCACGATGACCGGGTCAGTCACAGATCGCACACCACTGCCGATCGCGCTGGCAGTGCCATTATTTTCTAATGGCACCCCAGTCATGCCAGGCAGATTGCGCGTTTTCCTGCTGCAATACCGCCCTGCCCGTGAGGTTGCACACGATTGCAGTTGAAAACGCTGCACGTTTATTCGCGTGCAGATGGGGGCAGTGGGGCTGGTTTTATTTTTATTTACTTTGTAAAAAATGTTCATTTGTTTTTAATTATTTTTACTTAATAGCTCCACGCCCCCCCGCTCGTAGCGCCGCTCAAAGAAAGCCAGCCCTGCTACTTGTACGT